CAATATCCCATCCATTAAGCTGTGGTTGAATGCGGAGTGTGTGAGGACTTGGCAGCCCGGGTCGGCGGGGGCGGGGAGCCGCTCGGCGCGGACACGGGATGCCGGGGAGCCGTGCTCTGCATGGCTATGAGGGCTGGGAGTGCGGCCCTCCGCCGCTGCTGGGAGCGCTGCGCGGAGCTCCAGACGGGACAGACAACATCTCCAGCCTTTTTTTTTTTTTTTTTTTTTTTTTTTAAGTACAGTAGCTGGCAGGGAAAAGGCGCCAAAACACACAAGATTAAAGCTCTCTGAAGCGGTCGTGCTGCTGCCCTTCTGCTCCTAACTTGAATTGCACAGAAAATAATAATAAAAAAAATAGCTTTTCAGTTCTGGTTTGGGCAGACGTACACTAACAGCCTCTCCTCCCCCACTCCGAGGCGCTGGGAAGTGGTACGGACCCGCAGAGAGGAGGGGCCGAGACTGGATCCTGCTGCCGCGGTCTGTGTGTGTCCAGTGCTGATTTAAGATCAGCAAATGTGATTTTTTTTTTTTTTTTTTTTTTTTTGTAGGAATTTACTGTACTGGGGTAAGAGGGTTCCCGTGTCTTTGTGAGGCTGAGAACATGACCCGCAGCGAAGACAAAAACTGCGCAGTTGTGTAACCCAAAACGCTGTGGTTTACACAGCTTTACACTTGAGGTTTGATGTTTTCATTTGCTGGTCTGGGAGCTGTGGAAAGCTCGAGTACTGCAGCCCCCATCCGACCGTATGCAGACAGAGGTCAAGCACACTCCCTTCGTGTTTCTACGCTCAGCCAAAAGTGCTCTGCTTCTGATTGTGCATGTGCATGCTTTGTGTCTGACCATACATGCTTTGTATACTGAGTACGTTTCTTCTGATCACTCAGAAAAGTGCTACTAAGTATGAAGATATATAGGTGTTTTACTCCACCGACTCAGAAGTTTTACTGATTGCTATTTGTGTTTGAAAAGAACCATAAATGTGTTACAAATTCAGCTGCATCTGACAGAAATCAAGACCTCGTAAACCAGTGTGTTATCAGTTTGCTTATTTAGCTCACTGTCGTTACATATGCTCCCTGAATGCTTGCTGCTCCACTCCTTGTGTGCATGCATCTGTATGAGCAGTCATTGCCCCTGCACATGAGAAAACTGACCAAGACTGTGGTTTTAATACACATGTGGAATTTGCAGTTGATGGCACAAGCGGCCCTGCAAGGCATGAAATCTATTTGTACGGTTAGAAAGATCATTAGGTAACACTGTGACAATACAGTACGATTTGGGTTGTTTTTTAACATGCAGTGGACATAAACTGTACTTTCTTTGTGCTGCACGAAGTTGTGCATGCACCCAAGTGTTTGTCTATCTCATGCATATGTCTGTGAGCTGCATTTGCTGACCATGAGTAAAAAAGAAATTAATGACGTTGCACTTAAACTAGTAATAAAAAGATCTGCAATGCTTGTTGGAGGCCTCATGTTAAAATTTTGGAACTGTTTCTCTGACACTGAATCGTTTGGATTAAATATTTTGTGTCTCAACCAAATGCTTCTGCCTTTTGCAAAAGAACTATTGAAATTGTCATGAAAACACAGTTTCCTAGAAGTTCAGTACGTGCATGGCTAGGTAGTAGACTTGTTTGCGCAGCTGTAAAAAATGAGGTTGTGTGTTTCAGCTTTCCATGCCACTTTCCATGTATTTTGATGCACAGTGATACTTTGGCACTCCAAAGTCAGAGCGTGTGAGCGGCTGTCTGGGCAAAGGGCATCAGCCAAAATTTTGCCTTGGGAAGATGTCACTGGCCTTTCCATTCTTTAACATCATTATTTCTGAAGTCCAAGGGCAATGCCCCTTTCCAACATCTGGTACAGTTTGTGAACGCTGTGAACCAAGGAGTTAAAAACAGACTTTCCATGCAAGTCCGGGGCACCAGAACTCCTACTGCTGGGGAAGTCAGGGTGGGTAGTGGGGCTGCCGAAAGCATTTCTGGTCCTGGTGCCCAAAGCCCTCCTGGTGCTCTCTCCCCATCTGGATGGTGTGAACTGAGCTGGAGGAGTGCGCTGCAGAGGCTGTGCATGCAACTGGCTGGGGCAGCCCACTGTGCTTGTGTGCCCCTGTGCCAATGTGTCCCCGTGCCTGCAGCGTGGTGAGTCCATGCAGCCCAAGGGGACAGAGCAGCTCCTGGTGGCTCTCAGCAGGGAGGGGGCAAGATTTATTTCCTTAATTACCGGCATCAACATAACGACTGAACTTCCAAGCATCATATGGAGGTTGGCATTGCTCTGGCAGCGAACACAAAATTACAGCTTTCCCTGGAGTTTCAAGGATAGAGAACTGGCAACTGTAGCAGCAGTGTTAGTGCCGAAGGGTAGGAGAAAAGGATGTGGGTGAGTTGGGTGGGGAAATGCTGCACGCAGGCACTTGGGGGCATGCAAACAGCGTTCCACCTGGTTTCCCTGCAGCCAGGGTCCATCCACCCTGCAGCATTATACTACCTTTCTCCAGGTGTGCCTGTACCTGCTCATGCACTTCTGCAGGGAAACAGTGTGGAGTTACTCTTTTTTTTTCTTTTTTTTTTCTTTCATGGAGATCTCACTCTGGTCTCAAAAAAATCTTTAGCTTGCTTTCTTTTTGAAGGAATCGTGTGTGTATGTGTGTGCAAACTTGAACACACTGTACCAGGACAAACCCTGCCTTCCTGGTTTTATCCACTGGGATTAACAGAGGAATGGAGCCCAAACATGCCTAGTGGTTTTTTTTTGCTACCTCCTTCCATCAGTGCCTACCTTGCCTCCTATGGGACATACTGGAGATGCTTCCAAGTTCTGCTGGCCATGTAGTTCTGCTTCCCAGGAGACATTCTGGCAGGGGCCCTCTTCATCCCAGCTGTATCTCAACACCTCTGTCCTGTTCAGGCAGGGATGCAAAGCACCTGGGGGCCTGCTCAGTGGGGTGCGAACCTGACCTCACCTCTTGCAGCGGAGGTGTTGGTTCTCACCTCATTCCATGCTCTGTTTGAGTTGTCATGCCTGGCTTCCATTGCTGCCAGGATTTGGCTGTATGGCTGTTGCTTTCAGTGCATAGGGCTCAGTGCAGAGACATCCCTTGGCCTCCACCTGGAGGAGGAACTGCTGCCTTCTGCAAGCCCTACCTGGGAAGGGGAGGTTCATTCCCAAATGTGCGCAGCTGGTGGGGCCCTCGTGGAGGGGTATGAAGGAGAAGAGAGCTGCAGAGGAGTTGCTGAGGTTTTATAGCAGGTCTGCAGTGTTGTGCAAGAGTTGGAGCATGCAGAGAGGTGTGCTCAAGGACATCGGTGCGTTTGTGCCAAGGGGAATGTCTTTTATGGTAAATTAACTCCAGTTAAATTGAATATTTATTCAAAGGGAAACTCCGGCATTTAGGGCTGGTGTTATCAGCCTTCTGCAGTGTCTGGGTGAAGGGAAAGATGATGGGATTTGGGGGTATTCTACACCAGATAGGAAAACAAATGTGCTCACTGCGGTTAACCCCGACTTTGCCTCATCCCTGCTTGCCCAATGCATGCTCTGAACCCATCACTGATTAATGTGGTCTACGGAAAGGGAAAGCTGTGGCTGTTGGTGGAACCCTGCAGATCTGAGGGGGCTGTGCGAGTGTAGCTGGAGTTGCAGGGATACGGGATGCATTCTGCAGCGTCAGTGCAGGGCTGGGGCCGTTTCTGTGGCAGTACCTGGCCGTAGGGTGCTCTGTCTCCCTGCCCATCCCCCTTCTCCTTCTGATTTGTAAATTTATGGGGATTGCAGCTGGTGGACTTGGCAAGCTCCCCTCATTAAGAGCCCTCTTGGAAAATGGGCTGTGTTTGAGCATTTCCCTAATGAGGACAGGACGGGGTTAAAAAGTGACCATTTCATGGTTGACTTGAACCTGCCTCCTCTCCTTGATGTGTCGCCACGAAACGCCCTACGCGAACAAACTCGCACTTCGGGAGGGAGGGAGGCGGGCGGCGGTCTCTCCGGGGCCGGGGGCACCCCGGCCTCGCAGCGCACCGCGAGGGCAATTCTGCGTTCCCCCCGCGGCCCCTTTCCCTTCTCCCTCACCGGCGCGGAGCCGCAGCTCCTGCGCAGCGCTCCCCGCGCTGCCCCCGGCCCGTCCCCGCGCCCCCGCGCCCCCGCGCCCCGCCCGCCGCCGGATCGCGCCCGGCGGGAGGAGGAAGAGAAACCTCCTGCAGATGGCAGCCCGCCCCCGGCCCCCGCCCCCCGCCGCAACTTTCTCCCGGCAGAGGAGAGGGAAAATGAGGGATGTTTGCTAAGCGCGCCGGGTCCTTTTGCAGCGTTCGGCGGTGATTAATAGGGAGGGTCGGGGAGGGGGGGATCTGGCGGAGCTGGAATGTATGTGCAGCAGGAGGAGGAGGAGTGTAAGCGATGATTGTGTAATTAAATAATTAAAAAAGAAATACTTAAGTCTCATTTGGAAGGAGATCTGGAGCTGGGTCCGGAGGGTGTAACCGGCGAATTTTTCAACTTCCAAGTTCTGGGAGCCGACAGAAAAGGGGAAAAGGGAGACGGCGCGAAGGCAAACGGGGCGGGAGGGAAAGCGCTGGAGGGGACCGATCGCCTGCATTTCAGCAGATCGTTTTCATTACAGCGGGGAGCGGCCCCTCGGCGCGGCGCTCGGAGCGGCGCGCAGCGCGCAGGCGGAGCCCCGAGCGGCACGGCCGTGCGAAGCCTCTCCGGACGCGGGGATCGCCCCGCACGCGCGGTCGCCGCCGCGCAAAGTTTCGCTGCCGTCACTCCGCCTTTTTCCTGCTCTGCTCCGCGCTGTAACCTTGAACTTTCGAGAGCGTGGTGTCAGTGCCGTAATAACCCGCCACCAAAACTTCTTAAAAAAAAAAAAAAATAATAATTAAAAAAAAGCCAAACAACAACAACAAAAAATCCTCCCGCCCACCTCCTCCCCCCTCTCCCGCCCCCCCGCCCGAGTCCTTCCCCCCTCATCTGCAAAACAACCGCCGGCAGCCGCCGCCGCAGCAGCAGCAGCAGCATAGCACGGCTCTGCGCGCCGACTACAAGAGGGTTAAAAGTGTAGATTGGATTTCACCCCGGGAAATCGAGCGCACGGAGTGAACTTGAATCTTTGGCTATTTAAGGAGGACTGGGGTTTGTTGTGGAGTTGTGGTGATTCAGGGCAGAGCCCCGTCCTGATTGATTTCATCTTCCTCGAGTCTCAGATGACTGTAAAATGAACAGATGAAATTATTCCTTTTTTGAGGCTTTTTCTTAGGGGCTCTCCGGGCAGCGCGTTTGCAAAAGCGAAGTCATGATGTATTCTCCAATCTGTCTCACTCAGGTATAGACGCATTTTGATTTATTTCATTTGTTTGCTCGTTTATTTATTTATTTTCACGCGTTTTCTGTGTTTATGTGTGAGTTGCTCATGAGTCAGTGTAGCACTTGTAATGAGTCAAGGCGCGGTTGTGCCGCTCCTCGGACCCAAACTCCGCTCGCAGGAGGGATTCGGGATATGCTCTGCACCAGGCCATTGTTTTGGGGGGATCCGTTCAAAGTGTCACTCGCAGACAAATACTGTTAATTGCTGGCGCACAGCGAGTTAAAGGTTAACGGAAGGGAAATGAGCGTAATTACGCTAAAAAAGCGGGTTTGATAAGTATTGATTTGATTGGAATCAAGCTATCCGCGCTCTTTTCAGCTCTGCGGTGTGCATGGAGCCTAATTAAAGGGTTTAAAAAGGAAAAGTGCTGTATTTGACCAAAGGGAAGAAAGCAATCTCAGCTCTCTGCTGTGCGAACTAACCCCGCCTGACGCTTCAGGAGCTTCGCTGCCTGCAGCGGCCGAGCTCGGAGCTCGGGGCCGAGCGCGTTCCGCTCGCAACGCACCGGGATCTCTGCCGCCCGGCGCCGCTCTCGGGACCGCTGCTCGGGCCGCGGCTATCACCGGGAAAAGGGGGAGCTCCGAGAGCAGCTCCCAGCGCTGCCCGGTGCCGGCCCCGGGAGCTGAGCGGCCGCGGGAGCCGCCGGCGGAGGGTCCTCGCGAGGCCGCGGAGCGCGCTCGGCACCGGCGCTGCAGGGGAAGCGGCCGCGGCCCCGGAGCGTTTCGCGAAGAGAGAACCCTATGTGCAGAGCCAGGGGACAGTTTTCAGGAGCTTTTGTGAAAGTGTGTCTGAGGAGGATGTGATGTAAACTGATGAAGTGATAACTGCTTGCTTCCACATTGGCGCGACAAATAGCTCAAGAAGAAGAAAACGTGCGAAAGTAACGTCTCGTGTGCGCCGTAATTAAGCGGCCAATAACGCGCTTATAGCTGCACGGTGAATAAATAAATACGATTTAAGTTATTCGACAATTAGAAAGCATTGTAATTCAAAAGGACTGAAGTATTCACAAATTGTGAATGGAGATGGAAACAATGATAAGGCTTATTCAGTGATTGGATACAGTCCTGTAGCTTTTTGGCTGACACATTTTTTATTGTTTATATTTTGTTTGGCATCTGAGCGTGATTGACTTAGATATGGATATTTTCAGCAAGCAAACGTGAGCTTCAGTGGAGCAAAGCTGGAAAAGAGTACTGCAGGAGTATTTCTCCTTCTAAAGAAAAAGTGCTGCATGTAGGAAGCACGCTGTATAGCAGATACATGTACAGTTGTGGTACACATCAGTAAAAACTTACTTATGGTGGAATCTTCCATTAGTACAAAATAATGGGCTGTGTCCTGCAAAATCATTGTCAGGAAGCAAAATCTCTGCGCTGGAGTGTGTCTCAGAGTACAACTTGAGGCAGCAGCTTTTGCACTGAGAGTGCACACGTTTCCACCAGCACCTCTCGCACAGCGCACAGCTCACGTTGCTCTTTTCTGCTCTCGTGACATTTTTTTCCCATATGCTCACTTACTGGGCTCCTAGGTGCAGTAGATTTCTTCCCTCTGCAGATCTCTATTAAAATGCCATGCTTTGGCAGGTACAGAAACACAGCATTGCACTCTGCAGCCGTAGATATAAGGAAGCAGTTCCTGGCTCCTGCGTGTTAATAACTTCATGCTTTACACGTTGCAGTCATGCTGCAGCATCTGCCGTGCAGAAGCCGTTCACACGTAGAGGCACATGCATGCAGAAAAATCACAGCAGTTTGATTGTAGTTTGGATTTTTTATCTGTCTGTTTGGAGCCAGGAGAGCATTTTTGAAATTGTCGTTCCCTAAATTAAAAAAAAAAAAAAAAAAAAGAGGTTACAATGGAAAAGAGAACGCACACTTTCCATAATTTTGAGTTGCAGCTGAGTTAAAAGAACACTGCTGGAATTGCTCTCTCTATTGTGTTCTCGATCTTGAAGGCTCTGCATAGATGCATGTTGACTGTGGCAGTGCGTGCTCAGAAGAAAATATTTTGGTAGAAGTTCTAAACACAGAGCACCTGTTTGAAGCAGGCTGCCTGCACGAGGAGCACAACTCAATTTGTGCCAGTGCAGCACCGGAGCATCTTGTAAGCACAGCTCTAAAAGCCAGAAGTGCAGTGTTAAGACAGACATTGGCAAATCAGATGTTGCCCACCGGTGTTTCATTATAAGTTTGGTGGCTGTAAAGTAAATTGAAGGAAGAAGGAAGGCTTAGCAAAAGCAATGTAATTTTAGGGGGAAGGGTAAGGGGTGTCCTTTTTCCTGTCCTCCTGTATGTGCCTTTCTCCCTGTTTTGGAATGAGTGTAAACTACATTCATCCCTCTTGCTGAGGCACGATAGGATGCAGTTACCGCATGCCTTCAAGTGCTTGGGCTCTTGTGATATTTTTACCACAGTTTATTTTTATGTTATGGTGGTCCAGGAAACTCCGAATATGTTGTCTTTCTCTCTTCCCCTCAGAATACGCTCTTTCATTATGCACAAAGAAAATCCATGTGGGGAAATGGAGCGACTGAAGTTTTTGGTGTAAAATTTCTGGACTTCTGCCTTGCATACTTATTGCATGGTCTTCAGTCCAAACTCAGATGAACTGATATGAAGTTTGTCAGAGTGGAAAATGTGAGAATAGCACTTCACTTCCCCTTTACCTTTTCCAGACAGAAAACCTGGCCTATCTATCATCATTACGCTACAATTAGACAACGAGCATTTTCCCTTTATTTACAAACTACATAGTTATTCTATAATAACTTCCATGTTAATTTAAGTGGTCAGTGCGGAATGGTTCACCTGAGCCATTGGATATGACATCTTACTTCCATAAATCACTTTATTGGAAGAGCAGCTATGGCACATGGGTAAGTGCCACATAAAAGTCTTTTTTTTTTTTTTTTTTTTTTTTCCCCAATATTGCCTGTACTAATATTAAGGTGAAAAAAAAAAAAAAAAATCTGTAGATGGCTTTATAGGAGGTTTAGTGGAGAAAGTGTGTGATTAATTGGAAATCTCCACTTAGGATCATTTTTATGGGCACTTCTTCTTGTCAAGTAATGTTTCATTTGGAAGGACTCCGGATGCACAATGAATCTCTCAAAGATATCCGATAATATTGCTTTAGAATGGGATCTTCTTTGCTGTTTCTCCTTCACAATCCTTTGCATGTATCTATAGACTTAGGACTCTGTGATATTGTAAAAGAGAAGCATCCATTTGGTTTTAAAAAGGTGTTTCTTTTTCTTACTTTTTTTTTTTTTTTAAATTTTTCAGTCTTTGTAAAGGAAAGCATTCAATCACCAGAAAGTGGAATTTAAAATCAAGAATTCTGTGTAATTATCATAGATGTAAAATCCTAATGGCTATTACTGGTAATAGTATGTGAAGTACTTGAAAATGAAGCCATTCTGGAAGAGTTTGCCATGTTCTCCATAAAAATGAAAACTGGGTCTGCAGTATTCTATTAGCGCAGAACTTGCACATTAATTTAATTCCCATTTTAAGCTACAGTGCTGAAGTCTGTTTCAGACATAATTACTGTATTGCGGGAAAAAAATAATTTCTCCCACAGCTCCTCAGCCCCCTGCCTTTCTCCTTGCCCCACCTTTAACCCCAGATGTCACCATTTTTAAGATCTGTAGGAAATCTGCTTTATTTAGTCTAAAACGAATTGCAAAGATTTAATACCACACAGCCTTCCTGCTTATGCTAAGTTAGAATTTTAATAGCGTTTTGTTTAAATGTTTTAAGATGGCTTTTGTAGATGAAAAAATAAACTTTCTCTGGTAGTTAGAAGAGAGGAGAAAAAAGCATGGCACTGGAAAACGCATGAAGCCTTATCATGGGCTGTGGTTACTCAGAGCAGTATTGCCTTCCCACACAAAGAACAGATTGTGGTTTAACTCTTTCCACGGCCTAGTTTTTTGTGCCAGCATAGTATCAGAATTGTTCAGATCTCCGCTGGAAACTGCTAGCCAGTTTAATTATTGCCTTTGTGGCTCTTTGTCAAGCACGGTACTGTAGCGCAGTCATTTATGCCCCGAACTATCTCCTGATATTGCATCTCTGCTTTTTTTTTTTTATTTTTTTCTTTTTTTTCCCTTTCTCTGTTAAGGTAATGTGGGCATAGGTAAACTACTCACAACTTTTATGCTGTTTTCAGTTTGCTTTGGAGGTGGTGAGGGGAGAGAGGTAAGCAGCTCTGGTAGGTTTTTGTACCATTCAGGAAATTCTGAACTTTGAAATTTGAAGATTTAAATGCTGAATTCTTGGCCCGGAGCTCCCACAATGGCAGTCTGAACTCTGTATAATTGAGACCATTAGTTATACTTTCATCATTTTTACCTAATGGAGTTAATCAGCCTTCTGATTAAGCATAATTCATTCCCCGTCTAGCAGTGTAGCTAAAATATTAGTTAGTTAATTGTATTCTTGAATATAATTGTATAAGAAAAGATTTGGGTTTAGTTTGATTGCACCGTGCAGCTCAGTGTGATGAACGATCTGCTTGGTATTTAAACCTAAATATGCCTGCGCACAGAAAGGGAGATATCTCCCCTAAGATCTCACTTGCAAACAAAAATGCAGCAGCGTATGATAAGCAGATTGCGCTGTTCTGAACATTGGATTTGTTCACAGAAGGGCCATTCGTTTTTGGAAAAAGCCTATTTAGATATGAACATGGATGTGTAGGACGGTTCTTCAAGCAGACAAGATGAATTAACTTAATTGCTATAGGATGTGCTTGTAGATGACAACCAAGCATTACCTCCTTAATGCAATACATATTGCTGTCAGGCAGAAGATAAGAACTTCAGGTGAAGCCAGATGACAGGAAGGGATATTTCGGAACTGTAAATAAATGGCACGGATTTCACAAAAGCAGCATTTGACCAGCGGTGCACTCGTAATGTCACTCTGCCACAGCATGCAGAAACACAAAGAATGCAAAGTTTGTGCCAAGTTGCCATTTTTCATTGTACACCTCAGATTGATTTTTAAGGGGTTTAGAATAATTGCCACACTCATGTGATCGGTTAACAAATTAACTGACTCTGTGGGGCTTCAAAACCCGTAGTGAAGCTGCCAGGGGAAAATTAATGTAATTTTTGTTCTCGACTTCATAAACTTTTATTTTACAGAGTTTGGGGGTGGTGGGAGGGAAGCCCGAAGAGTTGAAAGTACAGAAGCTTCTTTGCAGGGTTTGTGTACAACATGCTGTGCCTTTTCCCCACTTTCCCTTACTGTATACTGGTTTCTCTAGTTACCACCACTGGAATGGTGCTGTTTCAGTGCTGGAATGTTGGACGTTTGATAAGAAAATGGATCAAGTTTAATGGCGCATGCTCTTTGTGCCACCAGCAGGCTCTTGCTGAGAGCATGCTCCAAAAGCGGGAACTGTGTGGCATTACACTGAGCATGTATATGCTTTGTGTTTCTGTGCCACAGAGAAGAGAAATGAACTGTGGCATTCACTTCAGCGTTCTGAACATTTCTGCTCAGATTTTTTAGAACTGTATAGTGTCCTCTTTGTGCAATGGTACTTTTCTTGATGCTAGTCATTCACTCAGATATTTAAATGTTCGGAACAAAACATTTTGATAGCATCTCTTTTCAGTGATGTAGTCTCTACAGCGATGTAGGATGAAGTGGGGGGAGGCATACAGAATAAAACCTTCAGATGCTATTCTCAAAGAGTGAAATATGGGAAAATGTGATTTTCCGTGTAATTTTGTCTGTTGTCTGACAGCAATGGCAATCACATCAAGGGTGTTATGCAGAAATTTGTGTAAATATTAAGTAAATATTGAATGTTTATTCTCTTTGTCTTGGATTTCGCTTTAAGATTTTCAGAAATCTTTATTGATGCTGCTTTGATTATGACAGTTTACTGACTTTTCTTCTTCTCTCCTTTCTTACCCCTCCACTTCCCTCCGCAGGATGAATTTCACCCGTTCATTGAGGCACTTCTTCCGCATGTCCGTGCAATTGCCTATACTTGGTTCAACCTCCAGGCTCGAAAGCGCAAGTACTTCAAAAAACATGAGAAACGAATGTCAAAGGACGAGGAAAGAGCAGTTAAGGATGAGCTACTAAGCGAAAAGCCCGAAATTAAACAGAAGTGGGCATCCAGGCTCCTCGCCAAGCTGCGCAAAGATATTCGCCAAGAGTTCCGGGAGGATTTTGTGCTCACAGTGACTGGGAAGAAGCACCCGTGCTGTGTATTGTCCAATCCTGACCAGAAGGGTAAGATTAGGAGGATCGACTGCCTGAGACAGGCTGACAAAGTCTGGCGTCTGGATCTAGTCATGGTGATCCTGTTCAAAGGCATCCCCTTGGAAAGTACGGATGGAGAGCGGCTCATGAAATCCCCACATTGCACAAATCCAGCACTTTGCGTCCAGCCACACCACATAACAGTATCAGTCAAGGAGCTTGATTTGTTTTTGGCATACTACGTGCAGGAGCAAGGTAGGAAGCAGATTGTCATGTTTCTATGTTAGTATGTCAAACTCGAATTCCAAGCAGCCCTGTTTCCCCCATGGGCTGTCTTCCAGTGAAACATTATTCTGTGGTCTCTATACATAACATGGGTACATATCCATATATAAATTGGCATGTATACGTATATACACACAGACACACTCACTCCTACAGACCTGCACAGATTATGTGTACGTTTAGCATATGTTTCTTGCTCTCTTTCAAGAGAGAGCAGAATGTCTCAAGGTAGTTCTTCAGTTCCTTTCTTTTTTTTTTTTTTTTTTTCCTGTTCACAATTTGACTCTCTCTTTGTATATAAATATATATATATTTTCCCAGCTATGACTTCAGGAAATGCTATTCTTATTTTTAAAGTCCTTTTTTTTTTTTTTCTTACCTGTAGTACTGTCAGTACAGATGCAGGCATGTGCAGTAGCACAGTCATGATAAACAGTACAAATACTTTTGTTTTTTCAGTTTCAAATAACCAAGAATTCATCCTTAAATTGATAAAGTTATTGAAACTTTGAGAGCAATTGTAAATGTTCTCAAAATACAACATGATAAAAATGTAGCCCAGAAATGCTGGTTAACAAATACTAAATGGGCAAAATTGCAGCATACATATTTAACGTTTTATTCATATTTGACATTGCTAGATCATGTTTCCTATCAGAGTTTTGAAACAAAGATTCAGGTTGTAATATTAAAAGAGAAATTTCCTCTAAAATTTTGTTTTCGTAATTACAGTAGTATACTTAATTTTATATGGAAGATTGCAGAAAAGCTTATTTACATGTTATTTATTTATTTATGAAATTAAGGTAAAATCTATTATTCTGTTAATCATATATAAGGGAGAAACTTGCTAGTCACATCACTTATTTAGATAAAAAATATTTGTGAGCAGGTCCCCTAGAATTGAAAATGGCTGCAAGTCGATAAAGGATTTTCTCTGATACTAAGCCTTCTGAGAAGCACTTTCTCTTTGTGAGATAATTTTGTTTCTTTTCGGTGATCGTGTCATCCTCTAGCCATCACTGTATTGCTGAGTGATAAGTAGCAATAATGCATTTGTTTCTTAGCTGCAGATCTAAACCAGGGTAAGTTTGACCAGCTGCGGATGGCGGGCCATTTCATGGTTTGGCCTGGTAGTAGGCAGAAATGGCTTGCAGAAGGGCAGATGGCAGTCTGTTATCTGATGCCCCATACGTAACTACGGATCTAACTGGAAAGGAAACTGAATAGATTTTATTAGGAACAAAGGAGTAGGGTTGCGTGTCTTCATTGAGCAGGTACCTGTGGTTTAAAAGAGTCGATACACAACAACCTTTTTACTTTCAAAGAATTGTTCTCTTAAAAGTTTAGCCACCCAAGTATTGCACTGTGTTTACATGAATGTATAAATAGGATTCAATTTTTTTTTTTTTTGAAATTATTCGTCGTGGAAATCTGTGTTTCTTTTTTTCTCTTGCCGTTTGTATTTTATATATTTTTTTCTTCACAGCAGTCGACAATTTACTCAAATATTTTGCAGTGACTTTAAGCAGCAGAACAGTCTGGTAAACGTGAACCTTTTCTACGAAAGCACTGAACTTAACAGTTTAATTACAAACACTTTTTATCTTCAAATCTTTTTTGTGAAGAAAAGTTTGAATGATAGATTGAATGCATGTATATTGCAGGACCTAACTTACTGATTAATTCTAATGGATTTACCTGCCTGTAAAAGTCAAAAAGTCAAAAGTACAAAGGCAGGCAAAATAGCTTAAGTAGCTCTTGAACCAAAGAGGCTGGGGTCATGGTACTCCTACACTCTTGATTTTAAGTTGTTGGATAGCTTGAAATTGGAGAAGGAATTGCAGAACATAGCTGATTTCATTGATTTAAACAAATAGAGAATATTAGTTTATTCAAAATATTTGCCTAAACAGAAATGAGAAAGATAAGTGTGCTGTAATATTATGACTTCAAAGGTTACAAGAAGCCACTCTGCGAATATACTGGAAGATGAAACTGGCAAATTTTTTTGTATCAACCTACCCTTAGCAGAAGCCATTGTTTATTGCAAACTGTATGTATTTTGTATCTCTCGTGCTGCTTCACAGTTAAACTTTTGCTAACATCTGTTTGCTCTCTTGAAGAAGTCATATTCAGTTATCTTTGTGTATTTTTCCCCATTTTGCCACTTTGATTCTCTGCCCTCAGTGAATGCAGGTTAATTGGACTTCGCAGTGTACTTGATTGAGAGCATCAGACTTGAAAAAGATATGCATGAAGTAAACCAAAATGCTGCATTTTACGCATGCTGTTTTGCTCTATATTTCTCTTTTAGAATACTAAAATCCGCCTAATAGTATCATATGAAAAACTAAGCAGGGAAATTGAAACAAATGACTGAACGAAATACGAAGAAGGAATTAATGCACAAAATGAAGAAAGGGGCCAAATAGTTTGTTTTTTTGTTGCTTTATAAAAGAAGATTAGAGGAAAAAGGAGGAGGAAGGATAGTTCGAGTGCCAGTGATGGTTGCCAGTGGCACCAGGATTGGCATCAGACCTTCTTTGTTTAGCCTAGGATGCCTGTGATTTGTTGGTTGGCATCCGCATTGCAGTGCAGAGTAATGTTACAATATATTGACAATTTCCAGATCTAGAAATGTCAGTAATTCTTTCAGTTCTTAATGACTACTTCCATGTCTGCCTTGAAGTAAGAAATAAGGACTTAAGCATTAACCTATCAAGTTTTGTGGTTGACCAACTTTATCTGGTTCTCCTTTTTGCCCACCTCTGTCAGAATTCAGCATCTTTTTCCCCCTATTCTGTTTCTATGACCCTCTTGTGCTTTAGAATCTTAAAAAAAAAAAAAAAAAAAAAAAAAAAAAAAAGAGGCTTAACTTAGAATTACAAAGCTGCTCCTTTGACTGAAATGGAGGAAGAAAATTGGATGGACACAGTAATCAATGTTTAGTGTCAAAATAATTTTTGTTCATAATACACTTCTACAGGGCTCTGCTTCTGCATCAGTGCCCTGTTTACTCTGCCTGAGTTTTTAAAAACCCTAAACCTTGAAAATGTCAAGGGTATTGTTTCTAATGATAAAAATGATTTTTTTTTTGTTTCTTTCTCTTTTCTTTCACGCTTTCATTCTTTCTCTTTTTATCTGGCATCACAGAGTATCTGTCGTTTGCTATGAAATGCGTCTGAGTCCAAAAAATCATTTGATGATATTTGACTCAATCAGTGCAGCGCTTATGCTGCGTTCCCGTTGCTACAAGAACCGCCATTTTGTTTGTCAAGTGCCAGGAGAGGAGGAAAAAAAAAAAAAAAAAAGGCAGACAATGTGCTTGATGCCAATAATGGTTGCCAGTGGCACCGAGGTTGGCATCAGACCCTCTTTGTCTAGTTGCTGAATGCCTTTGATTCGTTGGTTGGCATCCGCATTGCAGTGGGCACATTGGAAAGTTTTTGACAATCAGTGAATGAAAGCTGCAGTACTTGTTTGCTGCAACAGAACCCAGATAATATAAATCCCTTCTTCTGAGAGATGTTTTGCTTAAACTTACAATGGCTGATAAAAAAAAAAAAAATAAAATCACACCGCTCTTTTTAAAAAATATAAAATATCTACAGCAATGGATCTCATCTGCAGATTTCCTGATCCTCATGTTGTCTCTGCTGTTTTTCTTCCTGGCAGCATAAATAAAATGCAAAGCATTTTAGCAGATAGTGAATGAAGCATAATAGGCATAAGAAATACTTTGGGAGTATAAAGGACTCAAGCAATGGTAAATGTAAATGGTAAACATTTTAAAGTGTGTAACGCGTGTGCCTCTCGGAGTATATCTCTCAGATCAGTCATGTTGCTGTTTACACTCTCCTTTGTCCTTGTGCAAGACTGATATAACTGGGGGAGCCTGCATCCCCAGCTGTTAATAAAATGTGAAGTTGAGGGGAGGATCTTTTAAACTATCCAAGAATGAGAGCAGAAAATAGATGCAGATGTCCTACGTCTGGTACTGCTCAGGCACTCCTGATTTAAGTTCTTTACACATCAAGATGTTGCTGTTCCAGCTGCGGGATTTCTGCTACCAGCAATTTGGTGAAAAGACTAAATCATTTGTGCTGGAAGTTTCCTAGATAGCATTAATATTGCTTTCCAGTTAACTGCTATTATCTCATTAATTAATAAGGAGGATTAGCAAGCCCTTCCCAAAGGTCCGCGCAGAAGGAAGCCTGGCCTATGCGAGCCCCGGGATCACCAGGCTGTGTCCTGCATCTCTGGAGGTCGTGGGAGAAAGGAAGGGGAGAGAAAAACGTCAAGAGGGGGAGAGGGCGGGAGAGGCCAGCTCCCTGCAAGTCGGCAGGGGAGAGCTTTGCCTTGTGGACTCATCTGCCCAGCACCTGGGGAGACCCAAGGAGCAGGTTGGCAGGCTGCACACCAGACGGCTGCCGCAGGCTGCCTGGGGCCCATCCGGAGTGTGGGCGTTCCTTTGCTGCACCTGTGTGCATCCGGAGCTGTTTCCAGCCCAGCCAAGCGCTGAGGGGTCAGCGATCCCTTGCTGAGCTGGGATGCTGACTTTTCTCTTTGGCAGAGCCGGTAGCAGGGATGCGCTGTCTCACTTTGGACAACGTGTTCTACTTTCAGAAGGGACTCTGCGTAGCTCAGAGGCGATGCCTCTGAACTGCAAGAATGGGCCAGTGGCCTCTCAGCAGGTCAGTGGCGCAGTCCCCTTATCAGGCTTCTTGCATTTTGTGACTTCCTTGTCATGGGAAGCTCGTTTTTTTTTGAATAAGTCTGTGCAGTCATTCTTACATTGTGCATCCAGTTTAGCTTTAGTAAACACATGAAATTGAGAATGTAGCGGTATAATAAAAATATTTTTTTCTATTTTAAAATGGCATTTTTTGTTGTTGTCTGTTTGCCTTGAGCACAAGAAATTCCACTTGAAATCACACCCTGAACTTTCTTTAAGCGATATCCTCTTTGTGTAATGTGTGTAACGTTCATGTGCCCAAATGCTGCAACACCCTGAAAGAATTTGGATGTGGGTTTGTGTTTCTTGAGTGCACTGATGCTTCCACACACAATTAATAAAACGAAAAAATAGGCCTAGAATAATCAATCAATCTGCTGAATTGCTAATTGTTCCTACACCCTTTAACTTATTTGCCTCCTCCTTAGTGCCTTATGATTATACGGGAAGAAACGGTTGAACATTTTACCTGTTTTCCAGAAGGATATGTCAAAGCACAGGGCGATTTGTTGGAGTTTACACAGCAAATTGTTGATTCCACTGAGAACAACAGGAAATATAGATTATTACTGGCTTTACCCTGTGGGTGTCTGTATGTTCTTGCAGCCTATCTCTTGGACACTGAAATGGCATGCTTATCCCCTGCATTAAGTATCAATTTTTAATCAATGCAGAAGTAGAGGTAGGAGTTTGTATTTTATTTGCTCTCATGTAAGGGGAGCTTGTTGTGGTTTGAGAATCTAATAGGAAATAATAAACATTTTAAAAACATTGGATTATTTTGAGCAATTAGAGTCTATTCAGGCATGCAAAAAATGTAATTTTAAAACACTCCTTGTGTCAACTGAAAAGGAAGCCTCATTGATTTATCTTCTAGTTTTCTGATGTGAAACGTGGGATGATCACTTTGTTGACTATCTCAAATGTGCTGAAAATTGCAGACAGAGAAGACATTTGTCATTAAAAAATGGAAGTTAATTTATTGTATATATGGGCATAATAATGTTTTTCAATTGATGATTATTGTTATTTTTTGCATGAAGTAATGGGAAATTTAAACACTTGAAAAACTCACCTACCATTCACACAGTAAAACTGAAAAATCCCAAATGTCTATTTTTCTCTTTTCAAATTCAAGTTTTATAAGTAATACCACAGATTCATAAGAAAGAAAAGGGAATTTTTAATACTGAAATAAAAAATGAAATATATATATATATCTATATGTTTTAGGAAGGAGTCATTTTTTTTTTGCTTGTTCAGTTTTTTTTCCTGCTTGATACACCAGGGAGGTAATTTTCACAGGGTTAAATGATGTAATTGTGTTGAAGACAAAGGAAGCTTATGGTTAAATAAATTTTGTGCAACTAGTTGAAAATTTAGAAGTCAGCATTAATTTTTGAATCACATTTAGATCAACAGCAAGAAGCTATAAAGTGAAGAAAAGAATAGAAATGAAAACAGAAAATTCTTGCTTCACGATAGTTTCAGACAGAAGAACAATGCTGGGAACAAACAAAATGCTTCAAAACTATAAATAAGGCCACTAATTTGTGAAGGAAATACTTCACTTAACAGCAGAGGTCTATGTTTTAAATTTCTTAATTTTTATGCATATTGAATTCATTGTAGCGGTGAAAACGTTATAAAATAATTAAACAGTAATTCCTCTGCATGTTGGATTCTGAAGTTTATTGCACCAGTCTGCTGTCAAGCCAACATCTTTTTCCAGCTTTCCTTTCTCCCTGGGTTTTCCTTCTCCCCCTTTTTCCTGCTTTTAGTGAAGGAGCAGAATAGAAAGCTGGAGGAATGGTGGCTGGCTGGAGCTTTGGTCTTTGGAACTGCACACTTCAATGCCAAGCAGAATAATCCAGTGACTTTCCTAAGGAGTTATGATCCAGTCCCAGCAGGATGGTGGATGCTGCTTTGCTGCAATCGAATGGGATTATCTCAAGATCAAGTTAAAGGGCTGACTTAACTAAACAGAGTCATTACTTCCATTTTGGGTTGGAGAAGAAACCCCTTGTCTGGAAACACATTTCAGATGCTTAGTGAATGTGAAAAGGAAGACCCCATTCTTTTTGGAGAGGTTACATGATTTTCCTCTGTTAGTTGTTTATTTATTTTTTTCTATCACTAGAAATTTCAAGAAGCACCTGCTAAAAACTTAGCTCTGGCCAATGAGGGGTTGGATTAAAAATGGCGTGAAAGTCTCAGAAGCTAGTAATGGGAAAGTAAATCACGGATTATTAACTTTGTCCAAGAGAAGAGCAAGTTGATTTGGGTGTGTATATTGTAGTGTCTGAGAGCAGTGAGTTGTGTGTGACGTTGGGAACATTCCTCTCGCGCAGCTGCTATCTTTTTTTTTTTTCCCCACCACATTTTAATTTATAGAAAGATTACTTTCCTTCTCTCTTCTCCAGCCTTCTTTCCTTTTTTTATTTTTTATTTATTTTTATTTTATTTTATTTTATTTTCCCCACCCAAATATGTTTCTTTAGCCATTTCTTCGGTGCCTCATTATTGGCGTGTGACTTTTGTTCTAGCTTTTTTCACAGTCAGTGGGAGATAGGTACTTCAGACATGGCTTTTGTGGGGGATCCTGTCTATGAAAGAAGTAGAAATCTAGAGTATGTTTAGCAAAAATAACATTTTGTACCATTTTAGCCAGCCTGATCGTTGCAGGTTTTTCCTGCATGCCCCAAGACTCTTTTGTCACATCCTTCTTTCACCTTGTAACCCATCTCATATAAAAAAAAAGTTACTTGAAGTTGTCCAGACATTGGGATCTTTTTAATTTTGTGTCCCTCCTAACTACTTCTGGTATTTGGGATCTTTAAAAATATTCATTTTTTAAACCTGAAGAAATAGAATTGAAATTAGGAGAAATTACTATGATAGCTTTGGGCAAAGAATAGCACAAAACCGACCATCAAGCTCTTCCCTCAGAGAAACCTTGGGTGTTCTAACAGTAACTATATATCTAGAGAAAGGGGAATTTTACATTTTCCAGTGCCTTTCAGTGTTACAAAAGTGTCTTCACTAAAGGCATCTCCCTGACTTGAAGAGGACTTCTAATTATTTAGTCCCTGAAAAGTATGTGCTGAAACAAAACAAAGCAGTTCACCTTCTCTTCTTTGGAGACAGAACAGCAAAGTCAGCTAGTGGACAGCTAGTAAACACTGTTTGAGAAACAGTGTGTTTGTTGAGCAATTAAAAAATAAAAATAAAAATAAAAAGGATAGTTTTTCTTATATCAGGCAACAGAAATTATGTGTACAAGTAAATATATTCCATATTATTTGAAGATATTAGACAATTGAGAATTTTATATATTAAGTTATTGAAAATACTGCTTAAATATTTGCCTTCTCAATCTTCAAGATGCATTAAACTGAAATGCTATACAGATTTTCATAAAGGATAAATTAAAAAAAAGAGAAAGATTATTATGAAAGATATATGTTAAATCTAGCATTGCAATTTACTTTTTAGTCAGTCATACTGCCGTATTCAGAAAACATTTCCCAATAAAATGACACAGAATCCTATACTTTTTTTTTTTTTTTTTTTTTTTTAAATGAAAACAAAGGCTGTATAGATATTAGAATTCAGCAATTACAGACTCAACATCTT